TTGTTAAAACATAAACTTTAATTTCTGGAGTAATGCCTAGGATCTAGCTCTCATTTTTGTATATTAGCATAATATTTTCCTGTGCCCTGTAAAAATCAAATTGTTGTTTCAAGACTTGCTTATAGCATATGTAGAGAAATAAGTAAATACAGAATATTTGCACATTTAGGTAGGAGGTCTATTCAAAATATAAGAATAGCTAATATATATGAAGCTTTTGCTCTGTACAAGGTTCTATTTGTGTTCACTTCATGTAATTCTTACAACAAATTTGTGAAATGTGTGCTCTTGTTTATTTTTGCTTTACAATAAAGAAAGAGACAGAGAGAGTTTAAATAACCTGCCTAAAGTCACAGAACTATGAACCAGTAAAACTGGAATTTGAATTCTGTTTGACTCCAAAGCGCCCACTCTTTTTATTCACAACCCTAAACCGATATTAAAATGTTATGACACAACCTCATTCTCTCTAATCTGCTTGACAATTCATTCATACATCATGATCAGTTCAAATATTAACCTAGCAAATCAAATTATAATTTAATTTCATTGTAATTTAACATAAATGAGGTTTCTCTAGGCCAATATCATAGACACATGATTTAATACTTTTGGTTTTGTTCTTTTGTTTTGCTTTTTGCATTGTTGAAGACTGAGCCCAGGGGCCTGTGTGTGCTAAGCAAATATGCTACCACTGAGGTATACCCCCTGCCCCATACACTCATAATTTAAAGTATTGTAAGGGCCATAAAGATGATACACTGGGCTGATGCCCCTTAGCCATGTATTAAAGAAACTGAGGTTCAAACAAGTTTTGTGATTTCCCCAATATCATAAAATGAGTTTTTGGCACCAGAGCATAAATATAACCCAGAAGAGTTACATTAAAAAGTGTTGGACCTTTGGGAAAAATATACACACTTGAGTGCTTCACACATATTTTACATTCTTCACCACATTGTGTTCACCTGGAACTACAGGCTACATCAGTAACATCAGATGCTAGGGATTGCTCCCATGAGACATATTCATATCTCATCCTCTCATCCAGTCTAAATTCTAAGAACACTATAACAAGCAATTCCTAAATCAATTTTGTTTCAAAATTCCACATGTAAGAACAGAGATGCTTCTGGCTTACATACCATATTCTAATGAACGTGGTTGCTGGATTTCTAAGTTAGCCTAGGTTTGTCTCCAAAAGCCCGTATAACGCAAAATGGTCTTGGAGCACCTTTAGGCTCTAACACTACCTGGAAAAACTTACTCAGTGTGAAGAGGGATGTTTCCACAGAAAAAGATGGGACATCAGTTTCTGCTCCAGCCTCAGAAGAGAAACTGGGAGCCCTCTAAGCTTTAGCTTTGCCCTCTCCAGGTGAGAGGCATGGAAGGAAGGAGCAGGAAGTTAAGAGTTAAGGTTGGAAGTCTCAGGTAAAGCCTTGGGCACATTTTGGTCTCAGATTCCTGTCACTTTTACTCAGGGGCTCCTGATTACTCTTACTATGCTTTTCATAACCACTATTCCTTCTAACTAGGCCTTTTCTCTTTGCATGATGCTCTGAGGCATTTGCTAGTAAATAAATAAATAATAAATAAATGAATAAAATGTGGTTTACGTGCAAGTATCTGGCTGGGTGCTTTTAGAAACACAGACCTCAGGCTGCATCCCAAAACTCCCGAAGTCACATATTATCTTACCTAGATGCCCATGTGAATAGAGCGCTTATAAAAGTTTGAGAAATGCTGCTCTTCTGTCATTAGAGTTAATACTAGTTTTGCTATGTTTTAGTATCTTTCTAGTATTCTCATTTTTTAAAAACTCACTAAAAGTTCTCTCTGTGTGTCCCTTATAGACCTGGTGGAAGTCAGGACATTTAGTGACCATGCTGGTACCTGTCTACCAGTGGTTTTTAGCCCTGGTTGTACAACGTAGTACAATCACCTGGGGAGCACTTCATGAATTATACTGTCCCAGGCCCCATCCCTGACCAACTAAATCACATGACCTGGGTTGGGGCTGCTGGTTACTCTAAAGATAAGTAAAAAATCCCTGATGCTTCAAAGAAGAAATCTAGATGCTTTAACTTCCAAATGTTCTTGTCATAGGACATGGGGGAAGATGTAGAATGTGGTGGGCAGCATGTGTATTACCATGGGCCAGGGCTAGGGGTGCTAGTAGGGAGCAGAAATACTCAGGACATGGAGAAGTGTAGGGAGTTCAGAGGGCAAATAATTGCTGGGGCTAGAGAAGGGGCTAGCTATGGGGACAAGAGGGTTAGGAGAGAAAAATGAGAAAGAAATTCTATATGGCAGGCCTCAGAGAACCAGTCACAAAGAAGGGGCATACATAAGTCAAATGCTTAAGGCAGGGCATATCTGAGTGCAGATTTCCCCAAAATCTTTCCTTTTTAGCAGTAGACTTGTATTCTAATGCCTATCCAATGTTTTTGTCCAAATACAAAAGACAAAGATCTTCCTGTGCAATAGTCTCTGAGACTTGGAAACTGACAATATGAGTACCAAGACTTCCTTATGCCCTTAAACTTCATAGGAGTTAATAAAGAAAAGTAGTCTGATTTAAGCTGCACTGACATGTACCTCAGTGTGATGCTGGAAACATGCCAAGGGCTAAGAATCAAGAATATTTCTGAGTCAATGCTTATGAATTTCTTAGCATAATAAATATACTGTGATAATCATATTCTGTCAGTGTGTTTATAGACTTCCTCTGCTTAGCTTCCTTCAGACTGTCCTTAATTGACTCTTACACTCAGTTTTTCAATAGCCAGTCTGTCTTCTCTGCTGGTAGTCTTACATGTTAAAAACAATGTTGTATCTGGCTGCTGAATCAGATGAAGAAAAATGAGGTGTATAGTTAACGGTGATAATCCGTAGCTAATATGATTTAAAATTAAATCAGTATTGCAAAGAAATCTCCTCCATTATGGCATTTCCTTTTTCTTAACCTTTCACAGTTAACATCAAATTTTATAGTACTTTTTCTCTAATAGTCTTGAAAACAAACCAAATATATTTAAACTCCAATGATCATGTGTAGAGGCACTAAGAATGTGTAGAAGTTCTAAAAGTATGTCCATCCATCTCATGAGTAGTATTAAAACAATTTCAAGAACCCTGTTCATTCACACCAGCTCATTTAATGGAAAGAAGGAATGCCAAGAAAAAGATGACAAAGAATAAGACACTATATATGTTATTGAAAAGGATAGAGGTCTTATAATGGAACTGTCTCTCCTTTTTTTCTTCCTATAAGGGACAAAAGAATGAAGTCAACAGAAGCTGGAAAGAAAAAGAAGAAGATGAGAAAAAAGTGCTTAACAGGTGCAAAATTACAGTTAGAAGGAAGAAAAGTTATAGTACGGTGACTATAGGTAATAATTTTCAGTTATAAAACAGCCAGAAGACAAAATTTTGAATGTTTTTAGAGAAATTATACATGTTTAAGGTGATAAATATATTAATTACCCTGATCTGTTCATGACAATTATATATATATTGAAATATACTTCAATTAATATACCATGAATGGCTTTCAGATCTCTTCTGCTGGGATATTTTTAATCATGGGAAATTTAAGAACAACTTAGTCCCTCTTCAGACCTACGCCACTGTCTTGACTGTTATTTTTGTCTATAGGTTTCACCCTTACCACTATTAGATCATGACTGAAGAAAATAATTTCCCAAAGCTCTGAGTTTTTTTATGAGAAAAATGATACCTTAAAGGACAATTAGTTCCTGGGCTTCCTTATTCATATTTACTAACAAACTATTTTTCACTCCTAAATTTTTGCAAGTTTTATTAAGAACACATATATTTCACATACACACGCATGCATACACATACACACACACATATACTCCCCTGGAAGAATTTTTTGGCTTTTTGAAACAATGAATCTCTATATACGAATCTATAGATCCATCTATAAATAATATATCCATGTAACAACATGTATGATTTTATATACAAATATATGGTATGTATATATATGTATATATATATCGTACGTATATATATATGTATATATATCATACATATATATATAGCAGAAGACTTTCATCTAGGACATTATCACAAGCATTAGGAAACATGGAAACATTCTAGACCTAATTATATTCATCATTGTCAAGATAAATTTTTAAATGCGTTTTTGTTGGGCTGTATGAACTAATATTCTTAAAGTATGGAAACACATGGCATTTCTTTGGGAGACACTGTGGCACTGCTAAATTCCCGACACAGAAAGACCAGTATGAATACAGTCAACCCATAAGGTACATAACTTCCCAAAGCAATACTGTACACAACTATTACTGAAAGATTAAGCACATTTTCCACTTATCACCTCCTTTTAGAGGTTACAAACAAGGATTCAAAGTGATGCTCGAGTATAGAAAGTAATGAACTTGAGTTACATTTGAGAGCAACTAGAGAACATACATGGTTTTTAAAACCCCAAAGAGTTTTCAGGCAACTGCTGTCTTCATAATGATGAAGACACGAGACTGAGAAGATATATTGCAAGTTTACCTGATTTCAACATTTTTAAATTTTGCTGTTTTTCTTTGAAACAATTCAGTATGCAGATATAATTTCAAAATATTACATTAATATGTAAAATTGAGTGAATTCTTCTGACATTATCTTTTGACATTCTCTTATTGAATATGAAAAATAAAGGTACTAGTAATCTCATGTACTAAGATAATGAAATTTTTAGAATCATAACTGAAAATAATTTTTAACAAGTTATTTATTTTCCTGGGCTCATTTTAAATTGTTAATTGGCATTTTAATTCCAAAGAATTTTTACTTATCACTCCTAGAATTTTAGGAGCTTTCTCAGTGTTTAGAGTTGAATTAGTCCTTTATACTTTTATTTCTGTTCATTACATTCTTTAGTCCTTCTACAACCACTGCAATCACAATAATATAATTATTTTTATCCATACTATATTTACAAGGGAGATTCTTACCCCTAAATATAGGAGGATTCCATAAAACGTAAATCTCCAGAGAAAGCATCGCCGAAGGGCATTAATAAGTTTTGGATTTTTCTTTGAAACCAGCTCTCTATCCCATTCTCTAAAAAGAATAAAAAAATAGGATCAATAAGTTGCACGTGCTAATGTCTGGGTCATCCTATTGTTCTTGACATAGCTCTGTTTCACACAAATATATCAAAGGAGATTAATCTAATTGAGTAAAGACAAAACCTTATGGAAACTCTGTAACACCAACTGGTCACAAAGATATTTGGCAGATTTTGATGCTCTACTATATATCACTCTGTAAGGATTTGGTTTCATGAAAAGCCACATTGTACGTGTTAAAGAAAGGGATTGAGCTTCTTAAGAGCAATGGAAAGAGTGGGCAAATAAAGTGCAACATGAATAAATGCACTTGCAGTGCTTAGAACGGGTGGAAAAAATAAACAGGTAAATATTTTTACTCCCTTTCCTTACGTATTTAGAACTATGGCAGATTTTACAAGAGTCAACTGTGAAACAAACAAAAACCAAGATAAATGTTCAGGTATATTTTTATGTGAGAAAAACCTGTTAGAATTTGTTTTTAAAAGGAGAGGCATAAAATAAATATCATCAAGATTCGCTTTCAACTACTGAAATTATTTAAGTAAAAGCCTCTGAAAAATAGAAAAGAAAATATTATGCATTTTTTAAAGTAAGAATGGACATTAAGTTGTCTGAAAACTGGCTGAGATCTAATACTTTCTGTTTTAAGTACCACAGGAACAATATCTGCTTGTATTTAAGTTATTGCTACTGATCTCTGTTAATAAAATTTCTTTTTCTCCTCAGAAGGGAATAAAGTATCTCTAAGTGTCACTTTCATCTTAATTTTCAATTTATGCAGTATCGAAAAATTTCATGAGGTGCAGGCAAGAAACAAAAATTTAGACACAAGCTTTACATTTTATCAATGGCTATTTCCAATTACTATCAAATTACCATAACTAAACATGATTCTACATCACTCTTAACGAATATATAACAGAGATCTGAAGACAATCTTGATAATCTTGGTGCATGGTTTGTGGCTTCCCTGCTTGCTAACTACAGCCTATTCATAAAGCCTAGTCACCCTTTCTCACCTACCTGTCTTCTCACACTCCTCGCATTTCTCATTTACAAACATGGATCTTGCCTCTAATCCATAATGTCTGGTGACTTGAAATAGGAGAAGAAGCTAAATATGGAGAATTCTCCATAAAAATAGGAATAGGTCTTACAGGAAAACCAGGAAAGATGGATAGTACATAAACCAAAGAAATGGTTTCAAGGTAAAGAAGTGGACAACAGCAAAGTAGTTTAGAAAAGTGTCATTATACTGTATTTGACAAGTAAGAGAGAGGTCTCTGTTGACCCTGATCAATGTAGTTTTGGAAACATGGTAGATGTACAAACTATACTTCAGGGAGCTGAAATGTAAATGAAGAAGTGCAGAGAATAGGAAAACAGAAAAATGTTAGCTATGAAGAGGAGCAGGTTGGTGAATGGAGTAGTGACCAAAAAATTAATGCTGGGAAATTTTTTAATGGTGGGGCTTGAACAATTTATAGCCTGAGTGGAGGATTTAAGAGCAAGAGTAGGTGGAATAGTTTCATCGCCATCGTAACAGGCTCAAAGCAGGAGGGAAGAAGCTCTATATTTATAAAGTTCATATCATGGAATAAATGCATGGCTTGCACATTGCAGTGATATAATGGTTTCAACCCAGAAAACTGAGCCAGAGGGCCAATGTACCTCAACCATGTGGCAACCATTGAGGGCACTTGTCACAAGGCAGTTATGAAATGTAAGGTCAGAGTCACTTCCTAAGGGTGCAAAGGTACAAAGTATTACAAATGATATGTCATTCTTCTAGATGTTTCAATAAATTCCAAATTCCGATTTTATAAGAAAAGATATGAATAATGGAGTGATGAAATATAAAAAGGAAAAACAAACAATAAAGGTAGATTTTATGGACTTATTCTGTCATAGAGTTGTTAAATTGAAACAAAATAGGAATATTTTTAAAACTAAATCACAATGGAGAACACAATGAACACTGAGGAAAAAAGTTGAAAAAAATTAGGCCATATAATCCTGCAAATTTGGGTGTATGTTCTCTATTTGGCCATAAATCAAAATATATCTAGAACACTAATGTTTCAATGAACCTTACCCTATTCTGATTAATCTTTATCTCAGCAATATTGAATAATCTACTATATTATTTTAATTTGCTTGTGTCTACAATTTTACATACTTTGTTTCTCCATCAACATTATAGGTTTTTATATCATGCTAGTTATTTCACAATTAATCATTCACTTATTTATCAATAAACATTTATTATATATAATATGCCAGGCCCAATTATCGGTACCTGGGAATACACCACAAACAAAACAGATCAAACTAAACAAAAACAAAAACCCCGAATGTTCTTGTCTCTGTGCCACTTGTAAGAGCTCAATAATAGAAAATGGCCCTTGATCTTGGAAATGTGAATTCACCACTCCCATTTCCTTATTTCTTTGAATAAAATCAAAGAAAATAAGATTTACTATCTTACCTTGCCTTGAAAGTGTCAAAAAGGTAAATTAATCTAATTGAAATAAGGTAAATAAAGTACAAGTCTATGCAACCTTTTAACTTTGGTCAATAAAATTTAGTAACTACTGGGCCGGAAAATTAGCTCAGTGGTGCTGCGCCTGCCTCGCAAGTGCAAGGTCCTGAGTTCGATCCCCAGTACCACCAAAAAAAAAAAAAAAAAAATTTAGCAAGTGCCTTTTTCTTCTTTCATTTTTTAAATTTCCAATCCTTCTTCCTTTCATCTGCTGGTTCAGACAATGTCTAGTTAATTTACAGATTATGATTGGTCTAGGGAGTGAGAATGTGACTGAATTTTTATCATTTACCCATGCCTTGGCCCTAAGGATAAAAGGCTTTCTCCTGTGTGATGTGTAAAAGTATAAGGTCCAACACATGGAGAATGCTAGTCTGAGAGAATTGAACCAGCACAGTTAAAATGACACTAGTTAGGGGCTGGGGATTTAGCTCAGTGGCACTGTGCCCGCCTCACAAGCTCGAGGTCCTGAGTTCAATCCCTGGTACCCAGAGGAAAAAAAAAAAAGAAAATGACATTAGTAAAATTTGAGTCCCTGGTCCCATTGATTTCATGAGGCCAATTCTCTACCTAGGCATTCACACAGCTTAGACTTCAGGGGCCAACAAATTTTGCCCTTTCATGACTTTAACTACTTAATTGGATTTCTATCACTAGAATCAACAGTGTTGACCAATACTCTTCAATAAGGAAGATGCTGAAAAGTTCTTCACTGTGTGGAACACTGTGCCTAGAGACAAGCAGTAAAGATTTAAGTTGGAATCATGACTATCATCCATTACTGGCAGATTACATAATCTCTCTGAGGCTCCCATGTCTTTCTGTACAATGGAAATAGACACTTTCTTCCCAGAATGGCTGAGAGATGTTATATTGACATGTAGTAGAAGTAAAAACATGAAAATTTTTACATTTCTTTGATATCCAATAGCCATTGCCTTAAGACTTCCCAGCAGGCACATTTATATTCACATATTAATATTTTTGGAAGTAAATCTATCTCATGTTCTTTAAAGACAAGTAAATTCCCAGAACACAAATATATATTTTTCATCCAAAAGAAGACATTTCTCAAGAAAATTATTATTTTTTTCCTTCATGTTTTCATTATTTAATTCTTAATCAAGATTTCAGCAAAAATATGATATTCCTATTTTAACTATGCCATTTGAATTAGGCTCTCTAATATGTTAGTTTTCTGTTCTTTAAATAATTAATAATATGAATATCTCTTCTCTTCAACTAATACACTATGAAAATACCTTTCCAACTTTTCAGATAGGTTGTCAGCAGAATCAGCAGAAGGGATTTGGTATATATCTGACAACTCCAAGCGCTTTCTGTATCCTTTCTTCAGAATTGGTCTTATCCAGCTAAAACAGAAAGAGGAGGCGCAGGTATAAATATTCAGTTGATTTGATTTCCAATACAGATGTGGAATTTGACATCAATTCAAATCTTCTGGTATATAAAAGATATTGTTTGTATACATAAATATGAGAATAAAAATCAACTATAAAAATGTCAGAATTCATATTTTACAGGACACATCTATATAAAATATCAAAAGTCCTGAAATAATGTGACTGACACTTTGTCAAAAAGGATAAGAATGGTAAATCTTTCCCAAGGGAACAAGCAGACTACTAACCCGATATTTAATCAACACTCTTCTATAATTTTATTACAATAATACAAGGTACTCAGTATGAACTATGTATTAAATGAATTGAATATAGCTACAGTGTGAGTAGTTTATATCAATTTGTTGGATTAATTATCACACCTGCATCATTACTTGAGGGTAGACATCATTAACTTCTTATGTTTTACCTCCTCACCTTATATCAGTTCCACACTTCTTCCCTCCAGGAATCAAATAAGTAACAATTTATTACTGGAATTAATGAAACTGGCATGAGATATACCTAAGCAAGGTATCCTGGTATTTTCAAGTATGTTATTTCTTACTACTATGGGTAAGGCAGAATAACCTTCACGGAAACAAGACAATCCAAACAGGAAAAGGAGGAAGAAAGAAATTTGTAAAAATAAATAGATCAGCTGCAAAGAGAAATTTCTAAATGAAATTTGAGAGAATAAGACCTTTCTCTGGTGAAATTTCATGTATTTATTGAAAAAAGGAATTGAACTTGAATTTAGTGATTCACAAATTTATGCTTTCTTGTTCACCATCTTTCTTTTTTCCAAAGAATTCTAACATTTGATGCCACTGATATTATTTGGTAATGTATCAAAATGCATGTTAAACCACCAAAAAGAGAGGCAATATGAATTCATAATAAGAAAAATATATTTTGCTTTTTTATTAGTATTTGTAGTACCAAATGAATACCTTCATTGTGAGTACTTTGTATACATACGATAGGAAAAATTTTCTAGCAAAACCATTCAGAATAAAAAGAGAAAATGCTATGTCAATCCAACATTTTGATATATTTCCAGCAAAAAGTTTTGTAGATGGCCCACATGTCCACTCCCATCACTCCCATGAAAAGGTCCAGATTCCATTTCCTTGGTCTCCAATTTCTTCAGTATGCTCTCTGTTCTTTATTGCTATTTCTGCAATGTGTCTTTCATTAAGATTTACCTGAATTAGGGACCAGCTCTAAAGCTAAATAACTTCACCAATCATTTATTGCTAAGATATGTGTGACTATTGCTTAATATGTCACTTTTCCCCATTAACTTGAAAATTTGCATTTTAACAAGAGAGTTCTTTAGCAATGGGTGGTAATTAGGTTTATTCTTCATTAAATAATGGATGGTCAGTTTCATCCACTGGTCACTTTTCTTGAAAAACAATAATTAAAATACATGAGGCCTGTCTGAATTTAACAGGAAAAGAACTGTCATGATCATGCAGTGTCTGCAGTGGGTATCATCTGAGGAAGAAAAGAAATGTCCATGAGGTGCTCACCATCTCAGTGTCCAACAGACTGGAAGATAAACTGGGAAATACAGGTGGCATTAGACTAGCGAAAATCTGAGGCAGCAGTTTAGGATATGATTTAGCGAACCTTTGAAAACTTATGTGAACAAGTGAAAAGGTAAAGCTAGAGTTTGCTACTAGCAAAAAATTGTGTGTATATAGCCTTTTCCAAAGAGCTTTCGACATAGGAGAAATATAACTCCCAACCTGCTAGATGTCAAATGTGCCAAGTTTGTGCGCCCTGAAATCAAAGAATGAATTCCAATGAACAACAGAGGCTAAGAGTAGGAAAGATTTTTTAAGAGATGGGCCAGGGATTTAGCTCAGTGGTTTCTGCGCCTGTCTGGTAAGCACAAGGTCCGGAGTTCAATTCCTGGTACCAAAACAAACAAACAAACTAAATCTACCTATTAAGAGATAGCTCCTGAGAGACAGCAGGGGTCCCAAAAGTGGGTTGCCACTGAGGTTATTTGTCAGAAGTAATTTATACAGCAAGTCACAATGTGGGTACAACATGGGCCAAACTACAATCAAAAAATAGGATTACAAGTATAGCCACTTAGCTAATATTGATCCAATAGGGAAACAAGTCATGTAGCAAGGCTACATAGAAAGAACAAAGGGATTTTTGGGAAGGGATGGGTCAGGATGCTCTGGTCTCCCATCTGGGTGACTGATGCCTATCTAGACTTCCTGGACCAGGTGGTGCCACTTACACTATAATTCCAAGTTACTGTTCATCCCTTAGGGGGTCATGTATGCCTGGCTATTGCATCCCTATCTTGAGGCCTGGCCTTCCTCAGATGTGCCTCCAGCCACAGTTCTGATGTCTTAATTTTTATGCTGACTTCCAGTCCCTCTCTGACTGTATATTAGTTTCTACCTAACTTAGCTGCCTATAATACTATCCAGAGCACAGTGTGATTGTAATTTGAAAATTTCCTTAAATAGGTAGAACAAAAAGTGACCATGGCCCTATTTTAAGGGTAAAGAAATGGTGCTCAGAGATACTACACTTGTCCTAATTACTAAATGGCAAAGCCTAGACTTTTCCACAATCTGCCTTCCCTCTTTCCTTTACCATACTTAGCCTTTTCAATTTAAGAAAATTAATGGCAAGTTGTGTTAGATAGTGGAGAAGAGACTGGAAAGCAGGGAGAGCAAAAGGTAGCATCTGCACACAGCAGTTTGATGTATAGGCAAATAGTCAAGAATCTCCTTTCCATAAAATAAAACAAAATCTTTCATTATGGCCTAAATGATCTTACCATTTCAAGCTAACAAATATGAAGTCATTGAACACAGAGTTGGAAGAGATTACCTATTATAATATACCCACCACTCAGGTACAGTGAGCACAAATAATCTCAATAGTACAGAGAATAATAATTGTAAAACAATCAGAAAATGATAACTTTTCAGTTTTTACAACTATTGTTTTAATATAATGTATTTAATTATAAGTTTAAATAATTTAATGTTTAATTATGGCTATATTAAGTAACCAGCTCACAGATTTACTGAATATTTAATAATTAGCTCAGCTAGGAAAAGCCAAGCACAGCAGATCACTGACTACCAAATGTTTGAAAGGCTTAGAACAAACGTATGATGCTATCATGGAAAGAGACCTGTAGAAGGTCTTTTTTAATAAAAAAGTAAGTATGTTCTGCCTATAGTAAAGCTTATATTTTCAATATGCTTTAAATTATCAAAATATAACTATAACTTTTACAGGTGAACAGTACTTCACTACCGATATTATAACAGGAAAGGCATTTTCAAGAAATTAAAAAATAACTCTCCTCAATCTCTTTTTTAAAAAATGTAAAGACAACTCCTTTGATCTATATCTTAGATCCAATAACAATGAGTTTTCAGCCCATTTCAAAGTATCACAATTTGTGGGCTGCTTTTGTAAAAAGCTTTCTGCATTATCCGTGTCCATTTTAAGAAATTATGTTACAGCATGACATCTGGCTTTGATTATTAAGAGTGTCATAGCCCAGCATCATCAAACCAAACAAAATTCAGTAGTATAAAGATCCAAGTTCACTACCTATAATTATTAATGTTATTTAGTATTTCCTGATAGTTTCACCGCAGTAAACCTGTATCTGTGTCCCAAAATTGAAATTTGGTTTAAGGTAAATTATAAATGCTAAAATCCATTCATTTTAGGCTCACTGCAATCACCACACTCATGTTAGAGAAAGATTTTATTCCAAGAGTTTAAACCAATAAAACTGAATAAAACTTCTGCCCTACCAATGAGTTCTCCATTTTCACATCAAGCCAATCTTAGAAATACAAAACAAAATAAACCAGACAGCTATATTTAGACACTTTATGAAATATTAATTAATGCAAAACTCCAGCCACTCTTCCTTCTGAATAATCCTGAGTACATGCAACAGACTTGGACAGAATTTAAGAGTTCCTGGTCAAGATTTTCACCTCCATAATTTCTTCCATTAGAAATCAATGAGACAATGCAAGTTCACCAGGAATAACCAAAATACATAAGCTTCTGCTCTGCTTTCCGTCTCTCTTCCATTGCCCCTATTATCTTTTCCTCTCACTTCTAACTGGTTTAGCTTTCCTTCAGTTATAATCAGGTGCTATACATGGACAATGGACTTATAAATTGTCCTACTTAGCAATTGTGACAGTTTTCAAAGTTCTCACTATTTCTAGCAGAAACTAGATGATTATTAATTACGAAGTAGAAGGGGAAGTGAAAGAAGAATTAAGATGTATTATGTACCAACTCCTCATAATGAATATAATCACTTTGTACTGCAAATGCGTAGTAATAAAACTTATTTTTAAATTATGAAATAGCAGAGACTCAATGTAAACAGATGTTTAGAACTTGTAAGTTTTAAACTAACTGAAAAAAAAAAGAAGTCCTATCATCCTCGATAACATTGTTCTGTTTACTTAACTATAAGAAGTTTGGGGCTTTACTTGGGAGAAAATGCTATATATTTTAAGCACATACATATAATAATACTGTATTTAGTCCATTTTATTTCTTAAAACAAAACTTTTAATTTTGTATAGAATGACTTGTAATTCCTTATGATAAAAGTTTGACAATTATACTCACTCTTACAAATTTGGTTTTCATAAAACTTGTCCTCCTAAGACCAATAATTAAAGCTTATAATCATTCTTATTTGACATTTGACTTTTATTTATACAACAGAGCCATCTGACATTTTCATTTACTAAACCTTAAGATGAAGGTATCAGATATCAGAACTTTTCAAGTCAAAATAATTTTGTTTGTATAAAACAATCATGCTTCCACAGTATTTAGTGTTACTTTTTATTTAACTAGCCAAATAAAATGAAATAAGATAGCAAATTCAAACCACCGTTACATGACATTTTTCATAAGACTGACATGTTAAT